ATGGATGAATTTACAAGGCCTTTCAGGACTTTGCAGCAGCCGTGCTTTATAAACACATAAAACCCAATGAAGGAACCCAATGTATTTTTCCAAATTCCTGCTTATGTTTGTTTTTTTCCCCCTCAGTTAAAACAAACTTTGAGTCCGTGTGGGTTAAATGCAGCAGCCTTGTTGAACCTGGGCTCTATCTTGTTACTTTGGTCCTCACAGCTCACCGTCCCGTATCCTCCTGTAATAATCATATTTCTGCAGCTCAGAGACCTGAAGGTCAGAGAGCTGGAGGATGGATACCAGAGTGAAGGGCAAAATAAAATATATAACATGTAACTGGGTTAATAAGCAAAGACTCAGTAATATATTTCATCTAAAAATTCAGAGTGTGTAAAGCATACTCAGCATGTTCGTCCTGTAAACTTGATCAAACTCAAAACAAAGAGCAGACAGGACAACGAAGGAAGCCGAGCCAGAGATTATCTCTTCACAGCTTATACATTCATCCCGCTTACTTAATATTTCATGAGGCCCTAAAAAACTCATTCTCTCTAAATTGTCCTTCCTTCTGAGCAATTATAATTTGAATGCAGGGAACCTCTTGGTGTTTAACCATCGTGCCGAAGCCACATGCATAGTATATGTGCATGTGAGCGCGCTTGAAGAGGCACAAAACAAACCCAGGCAAAGGGTTTACAGCAGAGATGTCATATTCATGAACACAGAAAGTCCTCCAGCCTTTATATATTTCATTTGCCAGTTTTGTGAAATAAATAAAAAATAAAGCAAGGACCACATAGTTTCCCTCCATCCGACAAGCAGTAGTTATTTTCTATCTCCAAATGCAAATGTGACCAGAGGCTTGGCATCTGCCTGAGGGCTCAGTAGGCTGACAGTATGCATCCTAGGGAGTGATCTATTGATCCATATTCAATATCTGCTACACTCTCCAGCTCAGTAAAGTTGAAAGATGAATAAATAAGGAGCAGAACTGACAGAGCGTACATGTATACTAACACTGAGTGGCTAAATGGTTTTACTGGCCTCTTTTTGTGTGTAAATGACTAACACGTCCTACTATGCAGAATCAGAGGCAGAGCAGCTGCGTTTCATGTGCTGCGGTTTGAAAAAGCCTTCATACCTTTTGAACTTTTTCTCATTCTCTGACGTTACCGCCTCGATTGGAGGTTTGATTTGAATTGTGGATGTGATAGACCAACATAACAAAACTGGTGATGTTTTTTTATTTTATTTATTTAGTGCAACTCTTAACATAACCAACTCTACAACTTCATACTCTAACTCCATGCATTTACAGGGAACTCTTAATAAAATCCAGTGCAACCATTTATGATTTGAAGTGATTTAATTACAGTTCACTATTGTGTAATTTAATCCAAGGGAAGGTAAGGCAAGGTAAAGTAGTTACCTCTTCTTATTGCAAAAATTGGAGATTAAAATATGGTCATATGTTAGAATGGCCCAGTCAAAGTCTAGACTTAAATTCTGTTGATAATCCACAGGAAGCTTGGAAAACTTATTTTCAGTGTGGAATGTGATTGAAAAAGCTAATGTATAATACAGATGCACTTTTTTTTATACATTTTATACACAAATAAAACTTAAGACCTTGCATTCTTTTCCATCCACTTCACAAATATGACGTTATGTTGGTCTATAATATGAAATCTCAATTAAATAATTTGAGTTTTGGGGTTTTAATTTGCAAAAACGAATTGAAAAGTTCAAGGGGGTGTGTATATTTTTGCAAAACGCTTTTTATCAGCCTGGTGGGGAGAGATGAAAGATGCTGCAGGGTTACCAAGAGGACAACATGGAACAATGTCCACTCTGAGGATTAATTAATTTTGCTCTAAATGTAAAATGTACAATCAGGCAGAGGGAGAGAATAAGAAAGAGACCATGTAGGAGGAGGTGGAACGAGAGGAGGAGGAAGCGGGGAGTTGTCACTATCAATACATCTTTCATCACTAACGAGGTCTGAAAGCTACAAAAACACTGAAATTGACGGCAAACCCTGAGAACAACCACTCTCCTTCTTTCTTTTTTAATGTCTTTACCTGCCTACACGTACTCCAGCTTTGTGCTCCTCAGTCTTTTCACACGTGCCGCTCTTCATCTCCTCCACCAGCTACATTTTTTTTTTTCCTTCTTGATTTTTTTTTTATTCAGCTAATCAAGGCTCCAGTTCTGGAAATGATAATATGCAGAATGAATCGATGGAGTCTGTCACACGTAGATAATTTAAAAAAGGGGACAATTCAAAATTTTACAATTTGAAGAAGCAAAATTTAAATACCCCAAAGTGACGTGTTTCAAATCTAAAAGCACTGATTTTTTTATTTTTTTTATTTAATGTTGAAATAATCTCTTCTAGCCATTAAGGATAGTGATAGTTGAAGATTAAAAGCTGTTTTCTTACAGTTGAAACCAAAAGTATTTACACCCATAGCAGATTAATGCAATCTTTTCATTTGACCAACATGTTACTTCTGAATGGAAATAATAATAATATGGAGTGGAAGAGATCTGCAGAAGGAGATACAGATTAGGGTGATGATACAGAGGCCTTCTAACTCTAAGACAGTGGTTCTTAAGCTTTTTTGAGGTACCGAACCCACCAGTTTCATATGCGCATTCACTGAACCCTTCTGTAGTGATAAATAAAATGATTTTTTTCCCCCCAAATTCAAGACATAGACAAGATCACTAAGTCTTCTTAAAAGGTAGAGTCTCTGAGAACAGTTCTTCAACATATAGTCAGTGTTTCAGCAAAGTTGAGCTGACTGTCCAGGAACGACCCAAGGTATTTAAAATGTGCCACAGTTTCAACAGGTTGGACATTGAGAGAAACTGGAACCACTTTAAGGTCTTGTTTAGATTATTTAATTAGCTCTACATTCTTAAGAGAATGAAAAATTAATAATAAATAATAAAGACTGCGGTATTCTGATTTAGGAATGTAATTATATTAGTTGTGTTACCACCCCCACGCCACTAGAGGCAGTAGCAACCCCGAAAAGATGCGACTAAGGAGCAGAATTAGAAGTACACTGCTGAAGTAATTAAAGACACAAGTTCAAATCCATGCTGAGAGCGAAACTCCTTCAATCAGTGCTCCTCCGCAGCTCTGATTGACTCAGCCATGTAACGCGATCCTCTGCAGCACAGCGGGGCGTCATCACGACTTTACACAAGTGTGTCTTTATCTCCGCGGAAGAGGCTCCGTCGAACCCCTGGGGTTCGACCGAACCCAGGTTAAGAACCACTGGTCCAAGATGAGTCAATAAAAAACAATGGAAACTAATCAAGAGAAAAGTTTGACTGGTGTGAGACCAATTGAATATTTTTATAATAATCACTGCAATAGATCTGAAGTATTTTAGACACAGCTTTTCTTTTTAAAATTTAAATGAAAACTAAGGAATTTCGTTAAAACTGCTCTGCCCTTTACATTGTCTTATCATATTTTTTGAGAGACGCCGATCCAATCTCAAATCAGAAGCAAACTTTTTGTAAATTTCCCCGGAGTTTGAATAATTTTGTCTACTGGTGTTGCTGCTTGTCTCTCCATAGACATTTTATATATATATATATATATATATATATATATATATATATATATATATATATATATATATATATATATATATATATTCAATAAAAATAAAGGGAACATTTCACTTTAATTTTGTGTGTGGCTCCAAATCCAGGCCTCCATTGGTTAATAAATTTGATTTCCATTGATGATTTTTGTGTGATTTTGTTGTCAGCACATTCAACTTTGTACAGAACAAAGTATTATGAGAATATTTCATTCATTCAGATCTAGGATGTGTTATTTGAGTGTTCCCTTTATTTTTTGAGCAGTGTATATATTATGTCCATGTGACTTACAGTCAAGTTAATTTGTTGACTTCCGGTTTATCACTCGATTGGCTGCCACCTATTGGCCATTCAGCGCCATTTCATCACAAATTAAACCGAACACCGGGAAAATATCCCCATAATATATCCATATAAGAAGCTACTACAGGAGGTAAAAAAAAAGTCAAATAACATCAATTAACAGCTATATATTCACATTATTGGTACAATTTTTAAATATTAATTTTATGCTGGGGGAAATAGCAACTGACAATCTTTCAATTAAAGTGGACATCATGTGATATTAACTAACATTTGTAACCAATGCTGGTTGTTTATTGTTTTATTGTTCTGGAAAATGATTCCAGAGTGAATGAATGAATGAAAAAATAAATAAATAGGTTTTAACTTCCAATTTTCTTGATTGAAAAGTATTCTTCCTGCATTTTAATGTCATTTTGTGAGTTACAGTTAATGTTTATATTTATTTTGTAAGGCAGTACATGACCTAGCAGGAAAGTGATAGAGATTACATTTAAATCATATCAGGATGACTAAAGTGGCTGAGCATATAAAAACGTCTGCTACACATGTAAAAAAAAAAAAAAACTAGGTGTAGCTAAGACGGAGATGCTGAAGGGGGATATAAGGATGCTCTGGTAGCAGACGAGACTGAAGAAGCTGAGGATTTTCTAAGAGAGCTCAAGGACAAAAGAAAGCAAAATAGGATGCAACCGGAACATAAAAATGAAAGAAGAAAAATGTTTTTTGGGATGAATGGGACAGGAGCATGCAGAGCTGAGGAGTTGGAGACAAGAACCATGTTTTTCATTACAAGCACACTGAATAAATATTAGAAAATGGTAAAAATATGAGGGCACGATAGTTAAACAGCAATATTTTTATATCATGTCAGGGATTTCTCATGACTGAAAACAAGAAGGATGAAAAGAAAGATTAAAGAATGAATAAATTCAACATATTTAAAGAGAGGTGATAGAATTGGATAAGAGAATGAATTAATGTAGTTATTTGATTTGTGAAAAGGTCACATGCAGGCTGAGACGATGAATCTGTGTGTGTGAGAGTGTGTGTTACACGGGAAGGGTGGGGGGAGCAGGATAGTAGGCAGATGATGCCGAGGAGAGAGAAATACAACAAGTGACTGAACTGTTGCTCTGCAAATAAACTGACTGCGCGCCGGCATTTACGCACATCTAAAGTCTGGAAAAGTGACCTTTCAGAGCTCGCACGTATTTTTCTGTCTTTCTCAAGGACTGTATAGAGTTTAATTAAACAATATTATTAGACTTTTTTTCTCTCTCTCTTTCTCTCAATCTGCTTCGGATCGTTTTGGAGTTTGGACTCAGGGTGCAGAACTCATGGATGAGACGGTCAAAGTTTAAATGCAGCGCAGGATTCTGGTTGATTCGAGCTGAGTTTGGACCGAAGCGCAGCAACTTCGAACCGATGCGCCGGTGAAGGCGGCTCAGTTTTCCGGAGGATTTCGGTCCGGGTTTGGAGCGGAAGCGGCGTTTTTTTCACCGTGAACCCCGCAGAATGAACACACACTGAACTCCGGGGCTGAAACGTAGGCGGGAAAAGCGGAGTTTTGGTAAGTCGGTTTGTTGATTTGTGCGCGACTCTTTCAAAAGTTTTGCTTTAAATCACTTGCTTTCTGATTCACCCGTGAACGTGCAATAAAGTAAATCATATTAAGTTTTTATTGCTATTAAAACCTGACGAAGTTAGTGGAATAAAAGAAATAATAATACTATATTTCTGTTTACTTATGTACTTACAATATTACTATATTGTCGAACTGAAACTTATCTTAATATCATCATGATTTGTGTTATTATTATTATTAGTATACGCTTAATCTAAATAGAATATTTTAATGCTTTATGATTTCTAAGTCTATTTGTAATTCAGAAAACTGTCAATTAAGTGCATAACAATTTCATTTTTCGCATGCATCTTTCCCCCTGTTTGCATTCCTGAGTTGATTATTGTCATTTTGTTGCATGCTTCATTCCTCCTTTAAGTTGATGCTTGCATTAAAATGTTTCATGCGCCTTGTAAGCTTCTTTTCACTCAGTTCCCATTCTGGAGATGCCACCTCTTCCTCATGAGGATTACTTCATAGCATGTACTTTTATCTTTCCCTTTTTTTTCTACCTAAAGTTGTAAGAGAATCCCTTCCCCATGATATGTGCAATAAGACATCTCCTACTTCACTCAAACTACTTTTGAAAGAACAGATTCAACTCCCCTTCCTCAGATTTAACCCTCTTTCTTTTACTAGCTGTAATAAATCTGTGGCGTGAATGCAAGACCAGATTTCTGGAATAAATTCTTGAACGCGAGCGGGGGAAAAATAAAAGCAGTGAGATTTAGCCGCTTCCTTGTTCTTCTCTTCTCGTTTCTGGACAGACAAGCGAGGCGCCTTTCCCTGAATGTGGAGGGTGAGATGAACTCCAGTGGGAATTTTGAAGACCCCACCTGACAGCTCCTCCCTGTCTGAGAAACTGAAGGATTTTCCACTGGAGCGTCCACAGCCACAGAGCAGGGAAAGAATAAAACCCCTTAAATTTAACATTTCGTCAGCTGTGAATGTTTTGCGACATATGATGTGTTGTTTTAAATTGGATAAAAGTCACCAGACCATGTGAGCCAGAGAAAAGGGAGAAACAAAACGGATGTACAAATGGGGAATCAGTCATTCCCTCCCCTCTGAGTACTGACATTACTCTACTCGTCTGTGACTCTTAGAATCCTTGAAAAGACAAAATTTCTTCCCCCTGTCAGATAACATCCAACGTTGTGTCTGACGCTTTCCCCTTTGAGTAGCTTTCTGACCCGAGGTCAGCCTGGCCGGCACAACCATTCCAGCCAAAGGGGAGGAGGACTTCCTCACGCTGGCCGCCTCACGGCTCAGCCGCAAGAAACGAGTCATCGGGGCTGGAGTCGGAGTGGCCATGGTCCTGGTCCTGCTGGTGGCCATTCCCCTATTGGTCCACACCACAAAGGGGGCCGGGTCCGGAGGTGGTGGCACACACTATGAGATGCTGGGGAGCTGCAAGATGGTGTGTGACACGTTGAGCCCCCCTCAGGGAGAGCTGACTGCCGTCTCCCCGCAGCCTCCGGACTTCCCAAACCGGAGAGGCAAGCAGGGGTTTAGAGGAAGCCCCGGACTTCCTGGTCCTCCAGGGCCTAAAGGTCCACCTGGAGAGCCTGGTAAGCCCGGTCCACCAGGCCCACAAGGTCCTGGTCCAGGTGGATACGGTTCCTCCGTCTACACTCCTAAAATCGCCTTCTACGCCGGTCTGCGGAAGCAACACGAGGGGAGCGAAATACTGAAGTTTGATGACGTGGTGACCAACGTGGGGAACTACTATGAGCCGAGCACAGGCAAGTTCACCTGTCCTCTGCCCGGCATCTACTACTTCACCTACCATGTCCTGATGAGAGGCGGCGACGGGACGAGCATGTGGGCTGACCTGAAGAAGAACGGACAGGTGAGAGTCGTGCAGGTGTTCTCTCTCCTCAAATGAGACTCTAATTATAAACACAGAAATCATTTTAGTGACACACTTTTACACACATTTACACACAATCACCAACTGATTTTTTGTTATAGTCATGGACAAAGTGGTGGATCATTATAAAATAGAAGAAAAATCCTACATGGGTTTCAATTTTTCTAAAAAGTGTGGCATGCTCTTGTAATTAGCCACCTTTACTGTTTTATCCCTAAATAAAATCAAGCACAACCAGCTAGCTTCAGAAGTCAACAAATCAGTGGATAATCCATCCAAACTTAAGAGCTTTAAACCTTTAAGTCCTAAACATAGCGGCGACGATCCAGCCAAAGTTGCAGTACCGTAACTCCGCCACACGTTGCGCTATCTGAAAAATTCAAACGGTTTCTGAAAGGGGACACGTTGCGCTTTCCAGCCCATCTCGGGTTATTACGGTAATTTCACCCCCACAGTAGTAGCGAGTGAAATTAATCTGAGGGGGAATCTTTTAATAAACGGTAAATTGCGAAAATAACTTGCTAGATATTGAAAGTTCCAGTTGTTAAGGATAAATGGGCAAATATATATTTACTCACAGGATATTTAAAGAACTGCGTACAATTGAAATAAGCAAATATATACATTTTAATTTAGAACACAAATTAAAATGGATAATCCATTCTAGTGAGCCTGGCACACTTTTACACACATTTACACATAATCACAAACTTTGATATGTTTTTCTGGGATTTTTTTGTAATAGTCATGGACAAAGTGGTGGATCATTATAAAATAGAGGAAAAATTTATTTTATAATGCCTCCAAAGCAGGCCTGTGGTAACTTTGGAGGAACTGCAGAGACCCACTGCTCATATTGAGGAATATATTGACTTGACATCCATTAGCTACACAACCCCATTTATTTTTATGGAAGAGTGGCAAGATTGTTAAATCATTGACAGAAAATCAAAAGCAGTAAATTGATCAGTTTTGCCTTAAACCTTCCTGATGACTCTGTTCTGATAATGGTGGTGGCAGCATCAGACTGTGGGGATGCTTCTGTTTTTCCAGGGATAGGAAACCTAATCTAGACGTTTTATATGGGGGTAGAGGTTCACTTACTTACAGTCAGGACTGATGGCCCAGTCAAAGCCCAGGGAAAAAATAAACAAGAATAAGAGGCTGTAGTTCACTCTCTACAAAAGGTTAAAACACAGAGGCCCAGAACAAACGCATGTCACACTTTTTAAATTTTGACTCGCAAATATGATTTCAAATTATGTGTTGGTTTATTGCAAACATCCGCCACCCCCAATCCAACAACAAAAACAAGATGTTTGTGGTTGTAATATGTAAAAAGGTTCAAGATGTCCTGATACTTTGTCGAGGTGCTGCAGGCTCAAAAAATGTGAAGTTCTCTTGCGAAATACATCAGAAAGCCAAAGTTCTTCTTAGTCTGATGCACAAAAACTACTTCACTGTTCTTGTAAGTTTCAAAGTTAGAAATGTAGTTACTTTGCTAAAATCAGAAATATGTTCTCTAAAAACTTTAGGAGATATTAGAAAACTACTCTAAAAGGCTAACTGTATTAAAAGGCTAATGTTTGAACAGGACTGCTCCTCTATTTTTAGGATGGTAACCAAACAACATGAAAAAGAAATGTTTAAAAACTCAAAAAGAAAAGGTCTGACGGATAAGTTGCAAATAACACAAGATAATGGATATACAGGAAATTAGGTATTTAACAACAGGTTTTACTCAAAAGCTGCCTTAGAAAGAAGCTTTTTTTTTTTTTCTGCACAACTTGCAAACAAGGGAAGAGGAACGGAGTGACAGCCAAGCGATCAAGAGGATAACAATCCTCCTCGTCTCTGTGGAACGAAGCCAAAATGCAACAGCTGGCTATTGTCCTCTGAGGGACTCTGACTTTAGCACTAATAAATAAACAAGTACAAATGCCTGGAAAACGCCTTCCATCTGGAGAACAGGGACAAGCTTGAAGTACTAAGCCTTCAGTTGGATTTTGACATGTGTGCTGCACTGAAAAAGCAACGGCCAGGGGATTGCAAGAGAGAAAGAAGAGAAAGGAATGGAAAAGAAAGAGACGCTTTGCGTTAGTGCAAGTGTTCACTGGTGTAACATTTTCTGCACATAATTTACACGGTTCATGGACTAACAGCGCACAAGTAAGAAGACACCATTCCTGCACCAGATACATATGTTCAGTCAGATGATTTATTAAATCCACACTCCGAAAGATGTTAAAAAATGTGAATGCAGTCTGAGAATTTGGCAGCCGACGACCTAACACTGGAGAGAGCGATTTTGCCGATTATCATCCCTCCAGATACTTGAATAGAAAAAAGATTTATATTTTCAGCTTCATACTGTAAGTTCACACCTGTTATTTAAAACAACAACAAAAAAAAAGAAAACATTTTAGGTGAGAACCTATGATAGATTTTCAAGAGTTTTATTTGTCCAAATCTTGCAGAGATGAATAAAATCATGAGCTGGAACAGAGATCTCACTCTCTGGTCGCTCGTCCTTCATCGTAATGTTAAGGTCTTTCTTCTCCATAATTTTTCTGCAGTCAAGATTAAATAGAGAAACAAGAGCTGTTTGAAACGATATCAAAGCTGCACAAGAGTATGAGTCTTTGTGGTGTAAATAAGACAAAGCTTTATTCTCTTTTATCTGATATATTAGAGCATATATGGAGAAGTTCTGGTTTTGAAAGGTTCTGAATAAAGATCGAGTTTTCTATACTTACTAAAGTGATTTTTCGGAGGGATCTCTTCAGTGTTACAGTTTTTTTTCAGTAGCTATTTGACCTCAGTGTGCTGCTTTTGGGAGGTTTCCCTGCATGCTCTGGGTTCATCCCACAGTCTAAAACGTATTCAAATCAGACTGTTTTTCCTTACATTTCAATATTTCAGATCAAACTCATTTTAATATCAGGCAAAGATGAGCTGAGTAATAAGCAAACTGTTTTCAACTTTAGATTTTATGTACTAAAAAACGTGTTAAACTATGATTACTGTTTTTTCCCCCCCTCTATTTTATTACTTCCAGACACGTAGAATCAAAAGACCACTTTTAATAGCGTATGTCTGTCAACATGCAGTAGGCTAAAGACTCACAGTAAGATCCAGGAAGTCTCAAACGAACCCAGAAGAACATCTAAACTCACTGCGGGTCTCAAATGCTTCAGAAAAGGTCCGTTTTCAGGATTTGATCATAATTAAAAACACTGGGCAAAAAGATCCAATATGGAGACTGGACTGGCCCGTCTCGCATTTGGCATCTTGACGATCATCAAGTCTCAGGAAAATAATCTGAGGCGAAACATTTTTGTAAGTTAGTTAAAGAAACCACTGATTCTGCTCTCAAGCAGAGAAGACCTGAAGGAGTTCTGATCGGTTTCTGACCTGAAGCTCACCTGGGTTCTGCAGCAGAAGAATAATCCAAGGAACGTCGAAAAGTCCACATCTGAATGACCCAAAAAAGCATCGAGGTCTTGGACTGACGTATTCAAAGGATCGTAATCCAACTGAGAAACTGTAGCGTTATGTTAAACATGCTATTTTGTTACATACATAAGAAAACTCCGATATGAATGATTTAAAACAATGATGAGAAGCAAAATGGGTCAGAATCTCTCCAGTTATGTAAAAGACTCACAGCCAAGTGGTTGTTTGGTCGTTAGGGGGCTGTTACTCTTTCACATAGGGTAAAGTTGAGTTGGATAGATTATTTTTTTTTCCTTTTCAGAAGCAAAATAATTTAAAAACTGCTTCTTATATGTTCACAGGTCACCTTTATCTGGTATTAGAGTTAGTTTTCATGACTTGAAATGCTTAAATGTTACAAAGAAGCAAAATTAATCTCTAGGGTGGCAGAAACCTTTTCACAGCACTGTAAGTTGTCGTAGTTTTAAAAATGGGTTTATTTATGAGCCAGAGACAGATTTTTCAGGCTCTTGGTGGGTTCGTCCCAAAATTATTCTGTATTTGTGGAATAAAAACTTCATCTTACCTTTGTCTTTACTCACTAAGAACACCTGGATGTTTGCATAACTTTGTAACAAATGAGAGAAAACATTTCCATTGTTAAACTGAATAGGTCGGGACATTTAATTAAATTTAATAATTTCTTGAGGTGGTCGCATCACAACTTGTTTAAACCCTGATTGATAATTTTATGAATTTAATTTAGTATTTAAAGTGTCTCTTTTGACTGAATAATAACCCAAAGCGTCTTGCAATTATATGTTGTCATAATTGTGTTGAACTTTGGAGAAAAAAAAAAGGAAATTAGTAACTATTATTTTAAGTTTTATGTCACATCAATACACCAAAATAATCAATTTTATCATTTAGACCTGGACATGTCTCAGCATAGTATCTTAGAATTTATCAGCATAAAAAAATATATAAAAAGAAAAACACAAAGTTATGGTTAGTTTGTCTTGGGTCAAACCCTCCTGAACTTCTCTGTTTTGAAGTGATCTGCTAACAAAGAGCTACAAAAAGCAAGATAATGTCAAGTTTGCTGTATTTTTTCAGTGTGATTTGTGTTCCCCAAACGCAAAGATCAGCTCACAGTGCATATTTTATGTGACTGTCCAAGTCCATAAATATAGTTATTCCCCTATTTCATTGCTTTTGACGGAACGAACAGGAAACGTAAAGAGGACGGACGGCTAAATGCCAGATATAATTGGGGGTCTCGGTTAGTTGCGTGTCTGCTCTGACATTGTCATTCCTGTCTCCTCCTGCTGTTAAATCTTTCATTGCCTTTAGATGAGATCTTCTCCCCTTCACCTGTGCCCTCCTTTACGCACACATGCACACACGCAGGCACTCACCTCCCACTGTCGCCGTCCACACTGTCTATTGACTCCTTCCCCATTAATTATTTTTCCATCAGCTAAATTATTTAACTCAATTTATAGCTGAACCTGGCTTACAGGTTCATTGCAGCTGCTGCATAT